TGGGCACCTTTCATGCCAACCCTGGCACAGCTGGGCTGTTCACTTGCTGGGAAACCAAGAAGAGGGTTCCTCTACCTGCCACAAACCAATGCCTAGAAACCATGGTGACAGGTGCCCTATGGAGAACTCAGCAAGGGTCAAGGGGCATCACAACCGGTTTCAGGAAAGGCTCTGGGGTTGTTGGACACTCTACAGGAGCTGAGAGGATTCCCTATGCATGGCCTCCAACAAGCCAGCAGAAGACCAAGAAAGAAACCCACAATCACCCCCCAAGCCAAGACCCAGATATGGTGCAGTCCTACCCCACCACCCCCCACACCCAAACCATCCCTTTCCTGTATCATACTTTGCAATTCCCTGGGGGGAATCACACAGCAGCCAGGTCAGAGGTCACAGCAGCATCTCACTAGTTGCTGGCACTGGAAGGGAGTTTCATGCCACTGCTTCTGACTGGGATGTGAGGGCAGCGGGGGTGTCGGCCTCATTCAATATTTAGGTGCATTTCAGTGCTCAGAGAAGTGAAGGATTGAGGGCACTGATTGGAGCCAGGCAGAGCAGAGGCAGCCTGCAAAATACTGCCACCACACCCGGCTCCTGTCCTGTTCCAGTCCTGCCTGGCTGTGCTGAGGGGCCACCACCCTGACCCTCCACCCGATTCATATTCCAGCTCTGAGCTCCCCCCCCCCATACTCAGTCAACGCATCTTGAGCCTGACCCAGTCCTCCCACACTGCTGTTCCAACCCCAGGCTCCCCACACCCCTCAAGCCTGACTTGCAACCTTCTCTACTATTCCAGTCCCAAGCTCTGGTGATCGACCTCAATCCCAGCCTGTAGCCCCACTCACCCACTGCAATTCCTCTCCCTCACAGACTCTTGACAACCAAGGTGTGCGCTAATGCAGAGTGTTGCATTGCAGACAAAAATCCCATCAACTTTACTAAACTAATGTTGTTTATGATCCAAGCCCCATTCAAGCCCAGGGCCCCAGAGATACAAGGACAAAAACCCATTGTACCAGCTCCCACGCCCTTCCCCTTTACTTTCAGTTCTTGTCTGAATTTGCCTCTGCCAAGCAGGGAGGGACCACCCAGATTTCAACCTCCCCCACAGAAGCTCCCTCTAATTCTTTGAGCTGCAGGGAGACCCTCAGCATCACCCTCAAGTGAAAAGCAAGGGTTGGGGCAGGTTAGCAAGCCTGTGAACTGAGCACAGGGGGCCTTGCACCCGCTGCACATTCCTCCCAGCTGTGTAACAAGAAAAACCACTCCACCAAGCAGGCAGATTCAAACCAGATGCTCAGTGTGACAGAAGAATGCTCCAAACCTACAGAGCACAGGACCAAGCAGCAAGAAGGGTGCTGGGGGCAGAGAGGGGAGAGAAGAGCCAGAAGAGTACTTATTCAGTCATTTGCCTGCCAGCCATGCGGGCTGCAATCCAGCTTTTCCTGCTGCTTTATTTGCTTATTTTTTTATTTTAATTTGATGTGACGGATGGGAAGAGACAGGAGGGAGGGAGGGGTAGAGCCAGGCATGGCATGGAGCAAACTGCCCCCATATAGCGCTGCCAATCATAGAATATCAGGGTTAGAAGGGACCCCAGGAGGTCATCTAGTCCAACCCCCTGCTCAAAGCAGGACCAATCCCCAGACAGATTTTTTTCCCCAGATCCCTAAATGGCCCCCTCAAGGATTGAACTCACAACCCTGGGTTTAGCAGGCCAATGCTCAAACCACTGAGCTATCCCTCCCTCCAATGCACCACAATCCCACCCTGAAACACATCCTACTAGTCCAGGACCAACTTGTCCATCCACCCACATGTCTGCCCTGTGCTGCTCCAGCTTGGTTCTCCCAACACACTTGTGACATCCCTGCCTGTTCCAGAGCCGAGTGCTCACACCACCAGGGCACCTCAACACTTGCTGCCTCACAGCATACCTGATGCTCTTCCCTTCCCCACTCCCCCCCACTATTTCAGTCCTGGACTCCCACACAGTGCACCTCAACCCCAACCTGCAGCCCCCGCCCCACAGCTATTTCGACCCTTCCCAACAGTGACCAGCTACAGTGCCGATGGTTCCAGTCCACATGGGTCAACATCACCCAGCTGAGATCCCGAGAACCTCTTCTCACCAGCGCCTGAAGCCAGATTCCACTCTGGAGTGCTGATCCTGAACGAAGATGCACACCACCCATCCCATGCCAGTCTAATGAATCTATCCCATCCTGCAGCTGCATGCAGCCAGCCACCCCAGACCACCAGACAAGACATGGGTGACCCCTCCTGAGCAAAGGGACATGGGGAATCCAGATGGTGATGCTCCCTGTGATCCCAAGGGCAGGCTAACAAGGTCAGGGAGACCCACCCAGACACCAAGCAGCAGCCGGAGAGAGGCTTATGACTGCAGCTCTCCCAAGGAGAAGTGTAGTAACAGGCGGGAGTCTCCCCGATTGGAGTTTTCCTTCCTTCCCACCTGCCATGAGGTGGGTGGGGAGTCAACCAGGATTGCCTGGGTGCTGCAGGCCAGGGGAAGACACCTTCAATTCCTTGCCCACCTGCTGCAGGTATCCACCCACTCCAGCACAATGGATCAGTGGGGTCAGACTTCAGGGCTTGAACCCAGAGGGCCCTAGAGCACCCTGCTGCAAGGGTGGGATCCTCTGTCGAGTGGCATAAAGGAGAGGTGTGCCCCCTGAAGCCACATCTGTCCATGTCCGCCCCCAGGAATAGTTTAGCTCTGCTGCCAGCATAGGCCCCACACTCCTTTCCCTTAGTCATTGCTGTGTCCCCCTGGGATGGAACCCTGCCCACAGTCCCCTATTGGAGATCTGAGGGGAGCAAGGAGGAAGCACCCCACCCTTCTGAAAGGAGAGCTAAGCCAGATCTTAGCCCCTGTTGGAAATCAGGCTGGGGCAGTTCAGTGGTCTGAGCTGGCCTGTTCTGCCCCTCATCTCTGTACCCCACAGTGTGCAATTCCTCATCAGCAGCCTCTCCCTCCACCCATTCCATCCGGTCCTCATGCTGGTCATTCATTGCACCCCCAGGAGCTGCCCCTGCCCCCAATGTCTCTTGCTAAGATGTGGGGCAACCTGCTGGCTCCCGGCTGAGCCCCCCTCCCCTGACTTGTTTGTTCCTTAAAAGCATCCCCCATCCCACCTGCTGCGCCACAGCGTGCCAGGCTGCGACACAGCAGGATCATGTGCAAGCAGGGAGGGCAGCCCCCCTCTCCCCCCCCCCCCACCACACACAGTGCCCCCAGCCATCTCCCTGATGAATGAACTCTGCAGTGGAGGAACCAGCTGACACCCTCCCTAGCAGCAGGAGTGCCCTGGGAGCACATGTTCCCAGCACAGCATCCCAGACAGACCACTGCGTCCTGTTGCTCCCCTGGCAAATCCCCCTATAGACTAGACACTGGTGGGTCCCTTAGGGGAACAAAATGTTTCCCTGACCCCATCCCTGCATGCCCCACCCAATTAGCTGGCACTTTCCCCATCTGCCTGGCAGCCCTCCCAGTGGGGAGGGGGTTAGGAGAGGCAGGGCAGGGGACTGAGCTCCCCCTTTCAAATGAAGCCAGGCTCAATGGTAGGGGTGACAGACCCGGCATTGTGCTCCCAACCAATAAAGTAGCATGTCACTAAGCTAGAGCCTAAGATGATGGACGGACGGACACACACCTTATTTATATACCACAGTGCCCAGAGGCCCCAGCCAGGCTCAGGCTTCCAGTGCACACAGCCAGAGACAGCCCCTGCCCCAGGGAACTTGCAGTCTGCTACAGCCAGGCAGGCACCCACATGCAGGTAAGCAGAATTACACACTGCCTGTTTTACTGTCTAAGTAATCGGTTATTTCATAGGGGCAGGCTTGCTAGCTTCCAACACTCTTCCACCGCCCAGTTCTCCTTGGAGAAATCTTCCACGCTGGCCTGGATTCAGCTCCACTACCACCTCCCTGCCCTTTCCAGTAAGAGGCTCTTAATGCAAGATACATTGGCGGGTAGAAGGAAGGAAGGTAGAAAAATTGAGGATGAAAATGCACAAGAAAATACTGCTGCATCAGCTGATCAGATCTGAGTCCAGGGAGCTGGGGAAAGTTCCCCCCCAACCTGCCAAAAAACAAGTCATCAGGACCAGAGGCTTCTGCTCCATAAAAATGAAAGTTCCCCTGATCCTAGGTGCTGGGGGTGCTACCACACACCCTGCCTTGGAGTGGTTTGTGGTCTATTATATCCAGGGTTTACAGTTTGGTTCAATGGCTCTCAGCCCCCCCCTTCTATAAAAATTGTTCCAGCCCCCCTGCGTCTGATAAAAGAAGTCAACCAACCCAGCCAGTAACCAGCCCCGCCACTCTCCTAAGCCTGATTAAACACACACAAGCACAACACTTTCCATTTTTACAAATATTCCTTCCCCGCTCCCCGGATACTGTCTCCTAGAAGCCCCCCCTCCCGCCCAGACAACAGAGCTTTTCTCTCGGTTTTAGAGCCAGCTCCACTTAAGGGAACTCCCTAAATTTTCCACAGCTAATTATAACTTGCAAACTCCGAAGGGCTCCCAGGGGCTGTTTTTGCAAGCATGGCAGGGCTGGGCGAGTCATCGGCTTGGATTTCCGTGGAGAAAGGAATTTCCCCCCTCCCCCCCCAAAAAAGCTGTTCGTGTTGCTGCAACCAGCGATTTGAGAAAGCTGAGACAGACACACAACTCTGCTTTCCAGCCTCCCCGGGTGATAGTCTCTCTTCTGCCTCCTTTCGCTCTGCGGACAACTAGCACCCGAGCAGAGAGAAACAGACACGGAAAATATGTTTGCAACAGTTTTCCATTCTGTGCCTGTTCCTCAGCCAGAGAGGAAGCCAGGAAGCCAGGCAGCCACCCCCCCCCCCCCACCAAGAGAGAAATCCCACCCAGCCCCTGACCCTGCGTGGAACAGCAAATCCATGCATGGTGGAAGGGGACTGGCAGAGGCTAAAGGTTGCCAGCACAACAGGAAAAACCACTTACTGTGTTCCTGGCTCGGGAGGCGAGGTTCCTCCAGCCCGAGGATTACCACCCGCCCAGCTGCTCCAAGTTGGGGCGCTTCAGTCTGGCGAAGAGCAGGCTGCGGGCGGGGGAAGCGGCCATGCAATGGCTTTGCACGACTGAATCAATTCATAGGCTGCGGCTGCTCTCGCTGCTTTCCCTCCGCCTCCAGCAATCCAGCCTTTCACTGGCGGGAAAACCCCCCTGGATTTCCATGGAAGGGAAGGGGTTAAAAAATCCCAAACTCCTGGATTCGCTTCCCTCCCTCCTTTTCCACTCCCCTCTTCGCTTGATTTTGCTCTTCCCAAAGTTTGGAGGGAAGCAGGAAGCTGGAAAGAGCCCAATGTCCTTTAACGCTGAAGGTCTTTAAGGAAAAAACCAGCAAACCCACACCGCTCTCTGCACTGAAGCTAATCAGCAGATAGGGACGAGGCTTGGGTTTGTTTTCTCTCTTCTCCCTCGCCCTCTCTTCTCCCCGTTTTCAGAGCCAGCCCTTTGCAAATTGAGCGAGTCCTACACGAGCAGCGCTAGCTTAAGAAAATGCTTGTCATAGCAACGCCACTGCCTAGCCCAGCCAGCCTCACCCCATCCCAGAGAGGAGGAGGAAGTCTCTTAAGGTGGCTTCACATGCCACAGTCCCAGCCCCGCTGCTCTCTGGTTTTTTAAGGGGGAGAGGCAAAAGACAGATCTCCCTTCTCCGAGAGTCCCTCCCCCACATACACACCTTTAATAGATCCATGTGTGCTTCTGAGCAGGAAACCGGTGGGGAGATCAGTGCTGGGGGGAAGGTTGTGGGGTTTATGATAGGGCTAGGTGTTGCAGAAAGCTCTTTTAATCTTTAAGGGGGACACACTACACTGCTCATTTCTTCTCTGCCATCTTTTGCCAGGCCTCCTATCTTTACAAACTCAGTGAAAGCAGAAGAAAAAGACATGCACCCTGTCAGTTTACTGAAAAACATTAAAAAGACATTTCTACCTAGTTTTCCCTGGGTTAGTAACTATTCCATTATGATCCATGGTAGAGGGCCTCTGCCCAGGGGTTCACCTATGTGGATTAGATATCAGGATTGGGGCCTGGAGTAGTAAAATGGGAAGAAATTAAGAATTTAAGGCCCCAATCCTGCCATGACATTAGCGCCGGGGAGCTTTGCCTAGGCAGAGGTCATTGCAAGATAGGGGTATAGTTTGTTTCTGGTGATGGTTTGGGTTGTGCTTTCACTCAGGTTGAACAGTGAAAAGTAGGCTGATCAATTTCACTTTTTTCTAGTCAGTTTCACTTTTGAGATTTCATGCCCCAGCCAAAAATTTGAGTTGCAAACAGTAGAAGACAAGTAGTTCAAAATGTATATATCCAATCCTCCTGCTTCCTTGTAAAGCAAGAACTAACTATGGAGATGATCCTGTTGATCTGAAGCCTGCTCCATGCAAAATAATTCATACCAGAGAATAGCCAATGTAATGCCAATTTTTAAGAGACTCCAGAGGCAATCTTGAAAGTTACAGACTGGAAAGTCTAACTTCAGTACTAGGCCAATTGGTTCAAACTATAGTCCAGAACAGAATCATCAGACATAGATGAACACAATATGTTGGGGAAGAGGCAACATGGCTTTTGTAAAGGGAAATCATGCCTCACCAATCTATTACCATTCTTTGAGAGTTTCAAGCAGCACGTGAATAAGGGTGATCCAGTTGATAGTGTACTTCGACTTTCAGAAAGTCTTTAATAAGATTCCACACCAATAGCACTTAAGCTAACTAAGCAGGCATGGGATAAGAGGAAACCTATGAGAGGAGCTAAGTAACTGGTTAAAAGATAGGAAACAAGAGGAATAAATGGTCAGTTTTCACAATGGAGAGAGCTAAATAGCAGGGTCCCCCAAGGATCTGTACCAGGACCCATGTTGTTCCACATTCATTATGAATGTGGAACAGAGGGGAAACAAGATAGCAAAGTTTGCAGAGGATACAAAATAATTCAAAACTTCTAAAAGGATCTCACAAAAGAGTGACATAACAGATTAAATGTAATATTGATAAGAGCAAAGTAGTGTACACTGGAAAACAATTCCAACTGAACATACAAAATGATTGGTTCTAAATTAGTGGTTACCACTCAAGATAGATGTTGGAGTCACCCAGGATTGTTCTCTGAAAACATCCACTGAATGTGCAGTGGCAGTCAAAAAAGCGACCAGAGCCTTAGGAATGGGGTTGATAAGACAGAAAATATAATGCCACTATATAAAGCCATGGTATTCCCATATCTTGACTGCTGTATGCAATTCTGGTTGACCTATCTCAGAAAAGATAATTGGAAAAGGTACAGAGGACAACAACCAACAACAACAAAAAACTATTAGGGGCATAGAACAACTTCCATAGGAGTAGAGATTTAAAACACTGGGATTTGTGGTGGGGCTTCACTCACCACACTAGCACCTCCTACTGGTGGTCTTGGGTATTAGCACCACAGGTCAGTGCACCCTCTCCCAATGGTGCTTTACCCACTGTCATATCTGCACCTGGTCCCACATCACTCCAAGGACCACAGCATCCTCTTCATGACACAGCCCCCCAGCTATGTCACATTCTGTGCTCCCAGCTTCCAAGGGAGGTTTAGCTTCTCAGTAGCCCAGCCACTTCCCTGGGGGGGGGCACCCAACCCACCCACTACTGTGGGTCCCAGTCCACAGACCCTGTAGCTAGCAGCTTCCTGCTACCTCTCCTTAATTTCTCACCAGTGCTGCTTCAATTCCTTGGGCTACTTTCCTGCAGCCCCAGCGCCTTCTTTGCCCTCTTCTCAGGGCCTCAAGCCTACACATTCCAGCAGGTCTCTCTAACTCCCACAATCCCCACTGGCAGCTGTCCTGAGGTACTACCCACCTACAGTCTTCTAGGAACCCCATCCTCTCCCTTGGACTCCCTGCAGCAAGTGAGCACCTGCCCCTGCAGCTCTTTTTATATGGGCCTGCTGGGCCCTGATTGGCTGCTCCCTGCACTGCCTCCCTAAGCTGCTTTTAACCCCTTCTCTGCCAGTGTGGGGCAGATAACCCATCACAGACTGTTCAGCTTAGAAAATAGACGGTGAAGGGGGGGATATGATTGAGGTCTATAAAACCATGAATGGTGTGGAGAAAGTGAATAAGGAAGTGTTATTTACCCCTTCATATAATACAAGAACCAGGTGTTACCCAATTAAATTAACAGGCAGCATGACTAAAACAAACATAAGGAGGTACTTCTTTGCAAAACCTGTGCAACTTGTTGCCTGGGGATGTTGTGAAGGCCAAAAGTATAACTGAGTTCAAAAAGGAATTAGATAAGTTCCTGGCGGATCGGACTATTATCCAAGATGGTCAGGGATGCAACCCCATGTCCCTAAATCTCTGATTGCCATATGCTGGGACTGGACGACAGGGGATGGATCACTCAATAATTGCCTTGTTCTGTTCATTCCCTCTGAAGCATCTGGCACTGGCCACTGTCAAAAGACAGGATACTGGTCTAGATGGACCATTGGTCTGACCCAGTATGGGCATTCTTATGTTCTTATTTGTTAAAGTGGTACAACTATTGTTTGTGGACACTCAAACTGATTTAAACCTGGTTTGGTTTAGCCTGTTCCTGTAAACCGATGTAAGTTCAGCCAGTGTAACCTCCGTGTGTATACATGCCCTTAGTTTTTATAACACTTTGTTTTACAGAGCATAAGTCCTTGATCCTGCAAATATTTATGCACGTGGGTAACTTTACAGATATGAGTAGCCCCAATGCATTACTGTAATGGGTGGGTAAGGTTACTCACAGGCATAAGTGTTTACAGGATCAGGGCCTAAATGCAGAGCTTTAAGTCTACCTCGTATATGGTCCTTTTATATAGGGAAAGTCTCCACATACCTATGTCTGCTCTAATTAAAGGTGCATGATTAGAAATGTTTGTGTCTAGCATTGGATCTACTTTTTCAGTGACTTATTGGGAGTCATGAAACTCTTCCTCTCTTGCAGCGCAGATCCAGCAAAGACAGATTGTATAGTCCAGGGATTGACAACCTTTGGCACGCGGCCTGTCAGGGAAAGCCCCGGCAGGCCAGGCCGGTTTGTTTACCTGCTGCACTTGCAGGTTCGGCTGATCGCAGCTCCCACTGACCGCGGTTCACTGTCCAAGGCCAATGGGGGCTGCGGGACAGGCAGCCAGCACATCCCTTGGCCCGTGCCACTTCCCGCAGCCCCCATTGGCCTGGGATGGCGAACCACGGTCAGTGGGAGCTGCGATCGGCCGAACCTGCGGGTGCAGCAGGTAAACCAACCAGCCCGGCCCACCAGGGGCTTTCTCTGGTGGGCCGTGTGCCAAAGGTTGCCGATCCCTGGTATAGTCAGTTGTAGGATCAGGGCTAAACTAGCTGCTCCCATCCTTTAAATAGTCAATGCAGGGTGGATTTGATTTAAATCAAATTGATTTAAATCACTAGTCAGGAAGACTCGATTTAATCATGGTTTTCTACATAAAAGTGCATTCTTGTTGGTTGCTATAACCTTAATACATATTCTTCACAACTCAGAGATAGATGTAGGTTTCATTTTTAGAAGGTACACACTATACATTTTTAAACAGTGATTTATTTTGAAAACTTTTCAGATTAGTTTTACAGCTATATCAGAAAATGAATGATTGTTTGGTTATTTCATTTACCAAAGGTAACTGAAGCGGATATTTGTGAAGTCATTGGGAGGTGAACTATCTCCAATTCAACAGGTTAATCATTAAGATTTGGAGGATTTTCTTGCCATGTTGTATTAGGAGGAGAACATCACCAGACAAACATTTAAAGTGTTTTATTTAACTAAAACAACAACGTTAAGTATTCTGGATTGTTTTCTTCAAAAGCAAACATATAATATTTTAACAAAACAAGCATATGTCCCTTGCTTCTCACATTTATATCCAGACTTCTCCTCCTTGTCCAGATCTATTCCACCCACAACAATCTTCTATTCATTGAACTTTTTGAAATTTTGCACTTTTAGAACGAA